CGACTACTGAGATGGACCAAAGTGGACAATGTATGCTAGCGGTAAGTTTAGACTGTTACAGTGTATATAGTCACATTGGGCAACGTCCCAAGGACACTGGACTGCCAATGGGGTTGGGGATTATGAGATCTGGGGCACGAAGCTTTTATAATATTTAAACTTTCCAAAAAAAAAAAAATCTAAAAAATTACTCTTATTAAAATGAATTTCCCTACTTTAGATTTTACATATTTTTTTTCTTATTTTAAAATATTTTTGTGAGAAATATTAGAAGTATTTATGACATCAAAAATCAAAAATCAATTTCTTTTCTTTTCTTTTTTTTTAAATATTATTTTGGAAAAAAATTGTATGTGATAAAGATAGTGGCAATAAATAATATAAATAGGTGAAATAAGACAAAAGTTAATACAATTAATAGAACATTAGAAGCAAAATCATTATCAGAGGGCCTAAGCAAATAGTTGATTATGCATATTGGATACACCCATTCTCAATTTCAGTTAATACAATTCATTAAGAGACTGCAAGAACCAGCTACTCTCTCTACGACGTGCTCCATCGTTATCGGTTGCACGATTTGAGGCTCTCATACATCCCAGTGATCACGTACTCGGAAATTCATCACCTAACATGCAAAAAGCGTTAGAGAAAGCATGAAGATGGAGAGCACGAATAATGAGACGTGTGAATTTAGCCATAGAAAAAGTTGGAACGATATCGAAATCAAAGTGTCTGCCATATGATTATCGGCATAAACGAGCAGCAGAACTAGCTCCCATGGTTCCATAGACATGTCGCAAATAGGAAAGTGAGGGGGGAGATCATTCATTTGGAAGAACGAATACATCAGCAAAAAATGGAAATAAAACATTACACCGAACTCTTCCTTCTGTTTTCTTGCTATGTTTGTTCATGCGAGATCCCACATCGGTTGGAGAAGGGAACGAAACATTCCTTACAAGGGTGTGAAAACCTCTCCCTAATAGACGTGTTTTAAAACTGTGAGGCTGACACGGATACATAATGGACTAAAGCGGACAATATCTGTTAGTAGTGGGTTTGGGATGTTACAAATGGTATCAGAGCCAGCCACCGGACGGTGTGCCAGCGAGGACACTGGCTCCCAAAGGGGTGGATTGTGAGATCCCACATCGGTTGGAGAGGGGAACGAAGCATTCCTTATAAGAGTGTGGAAACCTCTCCCTAATAGACACATTTTAAAACCGTGAGGCTGACAGCGATACATAACGGGCAAAAGCGACAATATCTGCTAGCGGGGGCTCTAGACGGTTACAGTTCGAAACAAAGCCATCGTCTTCTCTCCGCATGTCACCCTATGTCACCCTAGCTCTATCAAAAATCTAAATCTCAACCATTGATTTCGTTTCTGCCTCGCACCTAGAGCCTTCATTACATTACTCCCTTCTATTTTTCCATTGTAAGAGAATTCAGTCCCCTCCTTCCTTCTAGCATAATCCCTAGTTCTTCATAGGCTTATTTTTGCATGCACTGAAACAGATTAGCTCATTTCTAATTCTAGTGGTTTGTTTCAATCAAGATCTTCAATTACTGAACTATACAAGAACAAAAACACTCTTCCATGGAATACAAAGCTATCAAGAAGAAAATAAAGCCATTGACATAGCATATAAAGCACATAGATCCTTATCCTTCACAATGTTCAATAGACTAAAGCAGAGATTTCTCAACATTGATATAGGTACATTTAGAAACGCGGCCAAGCATTTAAAATTTAGTGTTGCAAAACTAGTAATAGATGAATATTTGAAGAATATAACGGAGCAGAAAAGGAATACAGGGTGCAATATAACATGTCATCATGAACGACAATAGACACGAAAAAGGAATACTGACCTACAAAAGACTCGTGGGAACGAACTTTACCAAGGTGAAAGTGTTCTCTTCATAGCTTGACCTCCACATCAACACCAGCTGGAAGGTCGAGTTGCATCAAAGAATCAATTGTTTGAGCAGTAGGGTACAAAATATCGATTAGCCGCTGGTGGGTTCTGATTTCGAAATGGAATCTTGCATCCTTATGAACATGAGGGGATTTAAGAACACAATAGATGCGCTTTTTCGTAGGTAATGGCACGGGACCCATGGTTTTTGCATTCGTGTTCCTTGCAGAATCCAATATCTGCTTGCAAGAATCTTCAATGAGTGGAACCCAGTAAGATCTTAGCTTAATTCTTATTTTCTGCTTTGGGGCCAGCTGAAACCATAAACATTTTTAGTCACTAAACAATTTCCAAACATAAGAAGAAGACACTATGGCAAAGATGAGCTGATAAGCAAACAAATCACATAATCTAACATGACAATCTGATGAAGATCATATTGGCATACTGTAAAAAAAGAAAGGTACAAAAATCAACGTCGATATCCTCGCCAATAAGTCGTAAAAATGAAGCCAGTGAAACCATTGTATAATTGGAGAACTTTGTACTACTTGGTTGAGAAGTTTCCTTTAGGATAAAAAGGAGTAAAGAAGACAGTAATATTCCAAACATTCACATACATTGAGAACTTTCAATGTTATATGAGATCTCTCACCTTCTACCTAGCTTTTTAGTTAACACGACAACCAATATGTACATAAATTTTCTATTCTGGAACTGTAACAGTCCAAGTCCACCGCTAATAGACATAGTCCTCTTTGGACTTTCTCTTCCAGGTTTCACCTCAAAATTTTAAAAGGTGTATGCTAGGGAGAGGTTTTCACACCCTTATAAGGAATACTTTGTTCCCCTCTCCAACCGACGTGGGGTCTCACACTCCACCCCTTTGAGAGCTCAACATCCTCGCTGGCACATTGTCCAGTCACTGTCTCTAATACCATTTGGAATAGCCCAAACACACCACTGGGAGACATTGTCCTCTTTGGACTTCCCTTCTGGGTTTCCCCTCAAGGTTCTAAAACGAGCTTACTAGAAAGAGGTTTCTACACCCTTACAAGGAATGTTCCGTTCTGCTCTCCAACCAATGTGGAATCTCACAAGAACAAACCTGGATAACCTGGCAGGATCATCAATCATCATACATATAACCTCATCAAATGATTTCATTGCATATTTTCTAGTCACTCTAAAACCAATACAAATTTCAGAGTTTAGTCTTGGTTTCAGAAGTTGCTCTGCAGAATATTTTATAATCTTTAGCAAGCTACAGGATGCGAGAGTAAAACACTGTCTGGAAAACATAGAAGTTACCTTATCCACATCCTCACCAATGCTTAGCGCTGAAGTCCCAGGCGCCTCAAAATCTTCGCCCTAAACATGAACACAACATTAAAAAAATAATAAAAGCATTGTTTCATCCATGATCTTAAAGGAAAAAAAAAAAAAAAAAAATCCGAAGTTACTTGCAATGCAATTGAAGACAAAATGGAAATCTAGAGCACGAGTTAATGACAACCCAGGCTAAAACCAGAACTATTAAGACCATACAAGAACAACAATTCTTACACCCATCACAAAAACAAAGAGAAATTGCAACATTATCACAAACCTCGAGAACGGCAGCTCCAGAGCCCTCCAAGATTTCCGGAGGCGGTTCAATGGTGCCAGGGGAGTCTAGAACTTCAGGAGCGGCATAAACCCTAGTCGAGGACAACGAAAATTGAAGGGGGTTGAGCTTTGAAACAGAAGTAGAGGAAGCAGAGAAGGGAAGAAGTTTAGGTTTAGAAGAAAGAGATGAGATAGGACCAAATAGAGTTGGAGATGGAATTATGGTGGCAGAGAGTGAAGAAATAGCCATTGAAAATCCTCCGAGTATCAATGGCGGAAGCTTTTTGCTCCCACCTCTACCGTTATCCAAATAAATTTCTCTGTGCTTTAAATTTTTCCAGAAAAAAATTAATTCTAAAGAAAAATTTCTATTGGGCCATGATAATGCAAGCCCAATTCGTCCTAAGCCATAATGGATCGGTTTGTCAGATTGGGCCTGAGCCCATTCAAACTTGAATTTTTTATCCAAAAATTGGGCCCCTAACCTAACTCCTAACCTAACTCGTACCCTTTTACCCTATTGGTACGTTTTGATATTTGAGTTTTATGAGATTTTATTTATTGATGTAATATGAACGATGGATAAATATGAATTTATAAAATAATTAAAAAAAACCAAACATCCAGACTACTCAACCCAACCCGAAAATTAATGGTTGAATTGTATTTGACAGCAAACTCTATTTGATCATTCTGGTCACCAACTCGAAATTTTGGGTAAGTTTAAAAAAATTCTCCAAATCAACTCGTTATGTATCGTCGTCAGCCTCACAGTTTTAAACCCATCTGTTAGGGAGAGGTTTCTACATACTTGTAAGGAATGCTTCGTTCCCCTGTTCAACAACCCTGATCGTAAGTGATAACTTATTCACTGGGTATGTTCAGTTAGCATCTAATAAATACGTCATTTCAATATTTAATTAATATTAAACATGTCGGACATGTCGATATTAAGTTTATCGACGTTATCATGCATACGAATACAATGAATGCCATGGAAGGGAAGGAAGGAATTAGGGCAAAGAAGCTATTCCTTTTCCATGGAATCAAAGTTCTAAAGGCAATGGAATAAGTTTGGTGGAAGGAATGCTTTCCTTTGCCAATATTTCATAATCATTTCACTATAAACTTTTAATTTTGTATTTACGGGGTTCGTGAATTTTAAATAATGTTAAGTAGGTCACGGGTCTATTACATTAAAAAAAAAATCAATGGTTAATTGAATAATTACACACGCGGAACCCGACCTCCGAAAATTCTCTGTGAGAAATCCCTGTCTTGATATCAGCAAAAATAAGTGGGAAATTTTGCAGGAATGGAGAATGAAATGAGCGGCGGGGATGGGGACAAGGCTTTCCCGTCCCCGACCCGTGACATCCCTACCTTTGACAAACTTCTTCCTAGAGAAACTCTCCCAAGCTTCTTTTTCCCTCCCAATAAAGCAAAAGCCAGTTTCACAAAGCTAGAGCTTTCAGCTCTCCCCTTTCTCTCCATCAATGGCTTCACACAAGAACAACCATGGCAATCTTGAATCGGCAGTGCACGCTCTGGGACCGAACAGCCCCGGACCCCAGAGCCTCTCCTTCCATCTCTCTCAGCAAACCTCTCTCTGCCATGTCGAAACTGAAAACTCCATGAAAGTATCCCTCTCCAGGGATGACATTCCATACTTCTCTACCTTTCTCACAGCTTTGACCTGCCATAACTCCCTCAGAAGCTTGGAGTTTCATCTCGTCGATTGGGAACTCGAGCAATTGCGAGAGCTTTGCAGGTTGATCGAGGATAATTCAAGCGTTAGACAAGTCGTGTTTCGACGAAATAGATTGAGTAATGAATGCTTGGCAGAGCTGGGCTGTACTTTGAAAAGGAACAGAGGGATTAAGGAGCTTATGTTTTCGGAATGCGGGATCGGATCAGTTGGAGTTGGTTCGATTGCTTCTGGTTTGAAGGACAACGACTCGTTGGAGGAGCTGCAGATTTGGGAGGACTCAATCGGGTCGAAAGGAGCAGAAAAACTCTCCAAGATGGTTGAAGAAAACTCAACTCTAAAGCTGTTATCGATTTTTGACTTGAATTCAATCGCAGTAACTCCATTGATTTCTGCAGTTTTGGGAATGAACAGGAACATGGAACTGCACATTTGGATCGGAGAAAATGGCGGCAAAAGTTCAAAGGTGGTCGAGTTTGTACCTGGGAATAGTACACTCAGAATCTATAGGCTTGACATAAACGGTGCTTGCAGGGTTGCCTGCGCTCTCGGGTTAAACTCGACGGTTAAAACGCTCGACATGACAGGAATCCGACTAAAATCCCGGTGGGCGAAGGAGTTCCGTTGCGCATTGGAGCAAAACCAATGTCTTAGGGAAGTAAAACTATCTAAAACTCACTTAAAAGATGAAGCAATTGTTCATATAGCAGCTGGACTTTTCAAGAACAAGCACTTGCAGAGCTTGTTTCTTGATGGAAACTTGTTCACCGGCATCGGAGTCGAGCATTTACTCTGCCCTTTAAGCCGGTTTTCGACCCTGCAACAACAACCAAACATAACTCTCAAATGCATAGCGTTTGGAGGTCGAAGAAACAAGATAGGAAGAGATGGGCTTGCAGCCGTTTTACGTATGCTAACGACGAACGAAACTCTAACTCATCTCAAAATATATGATGATCATAGCTTGAGGCCAAATGACATAGTCAGAATTTTCAGAAACTTGGAGAAGAATGCATCCTTAAAACACTTATCCTTACATGGCTGTAAAGGTGTTGATGGAGACATGGTGTTGCAGACAATAATGGAGATGCTTGAAGTAAATCCTTGGATAGAAGAAATCGACCTCTTCGGAACTCCTCTTCAGAATTCCGGAAAAGCTGATAGAGTTTACCAAAGATTAGGACAGAACGGGAACACCGACCTCGAACCACAGGTCGATTCGCTCGACATGACCTTGACAGAGCCGAAAAGTTGTCGGATTTTCTTCTGTGGGCAAGAATATGCAGGTAAAACTACTTTATGTAACTCCATATTACAGAACTTTGGATCAAAACTACCCTTCACAGACCAAGTAAGATCTTTGGTAGCTCCAGTTGAACAAGCAGTAAGAACAGAAGGAATGAAAATAAAAGCTTTCAGAGATGGGGACATCAAAATATCAATTTGGAATCTAGCAGGTCAACAAGAATTCCATTCCCTACATGATCTTATGTTTCCAGGGCCTGGAAGTGCATCACTTTTTGTAATCATCAGCAGTTTATTCAGGAAACCGAGTAATAAAGAATCGAAACATCCAAATGAGGTAGAAGAAGAGGTTCGGTATTGGCTAAGGTACATAGTTTCCAACTCGAAACGAGCACAGCAGCAATGCATGCTTCCTAATGTAACTTTGGTTCTAACACACTATGACAAAGTCATACAACCATCACAGAACTTGCAGCAAATTTTGATTTCAATTCAGGGACTAAGAGACAAATTCCAAGGTTACCTTGACATATACCCGACAGTATTTACCGTCGATGCACGTTCGTCAGCGACGGTAAATAAACTCTTGCATCACCTTCAGAGAACAAGCAGGACTGTTCTTCAAAGAGTTCCACAAGTTTACCAGCTCTGTAATGAACTGATACAAATTTTGAAAGACTGGAGATCAGAAAACTATAACAAGCCAGTAATGAGATGGAAAGAGTTCGAGGATCTATGTCAACTTCGCATCGCTCAGTTGAGAATCCGTTCGAGACGGAGTAATAAAGATAAGATCGAAACAAGGAGAAAGGCTATTGCTACTTGCTTGCATGACATAGGAGAGGTGATTTACTTCGAAGAACTCGGATTTATGATATTAGATTGTGATTGGTTCTGTGGAGAAGTTCTTGGGCAACTAATAAGATTAGACATTAGGAACCATTCAAACAACAATAATGGATTCATCAGTAGGAGAGAACTCGAAAAGGTGTTAAGAGGCAAGTTACATAGCCAGATCCCAGGAATGAGTTCGAAGGTATTCGAAAACTTACAAGCAAGTGACGTTGTGGGAATGATGCTTAAGCTGGAGCTTTGTTACGAACAAGACCAGTCGGATCCGGATTCTCCATTGCTTATTCCATCGGTTCTTGAAGAAGGTCGAGGGAAGCCACAGAGATGGCCGTTGAGTATGCCGGACTGCATCTACACAGGGAGACACCTTGAATGTGATGATTCGAGCCATACGTTTTTAAGTCCGGGCTTTTTTCCTCGACTACAGGCAAGAATCCGCTTCTTCTATCTCTCTCTTTCTGTAATGAAACATTGCCAGTTTTGAGTTCCTATTCAGATTGTTTTGTGTTGGTAATTCAGGTGCATTTGCATAACAGAATCATGGGATTAAAGAACCAATATGTAGCAACTTACAGCTTAGAGAAATACCTGATCACAATAAACATCAATGGAATTTATGTCAGGGTAGAGCTTGGAGGACAGTTTGGCTACTATATTGATGTCCTGGCATGCTCCACAAAGAGCTTGACCGAGACTCTCCGATTAATCCAGCAGCTTATAATCCCTGCGATTCACGACCTCTGTCATGGCATCATCTTGATCGAAAGCATTACGAGGCCCGAATGTGTGCGAAGTTTGGTGCCACCTAGACACAGGAAAACCCAGCAAGTCTCCATCCAACTACTGAAACTAGCATTGTTTTCAGTACCTGCCGATGGCATGTATGATTATCAGCATACATGGTGTCCTGTGTCGGATGGCGGTAGAGAAATTCTTGCAGTTGGCTTTGATTTTGCTCGGGATCTCTTGTCCGATGATGATTTCCGGGAAGTTTTGCATAGGAGGTACCATGACCTTTATGATCTAGCAGTTGAACTGCAAGTCCCACATGAAAACAACCCAGAAACAGTTGATAACGCACAAGCGAACGACGAAACAGATAAAGTTGAAGCGACGTTCAGTGGAATTGCAAAAGGGGTTGAAGCTGTTTTGCAGAGATTAAAGATCATTGAACAAGAAATCAGAGACTTAAAGCAGGAGATAAAAGGTCTAAGATATTATGAGCATAGACTCCTCCTCGAGCTTAATCGAAAAGTGAACTACCTAGTGAATTACAACGTTGAAATCGAAGAGAGGAGAGTACCAAACATGTTCTATTTTGTTAGAACAGAAAACTATTCAAGAAGGTTGATTACGAACCTGATTTCCGGCATGAATGCTCTCCGACTGCACATGTTATGCGAGTTCCGAAGGGAAATGCATGTTGTCGAAGATCAGATAGGCTGTGAAGTCATACAGATCGACAACATGGCAGTCAGGTCTTTAGCTCCATATATGACAAAGTTCATGAAACTGGTAACACTGTCTCTTAGAATAGGAGCCCAAGTAGCAGTTGGAATGGGACACATGATCCCAGATTTGAGTCGCGAGGTTGCGCATCTAGCCGATTCTTCTCTTTTTCATGGGCCAGCTGCGGCAGCTGCTGCAGGAGCTGTTGGAGCTGCAGCTATGGGACGTGTCGGCTTAAGCAGGGGAAGAACCAGAGCTGGAGACATTCAGAAAGAGCTCAAAACAGCACAGCAGTGGGTTCTGGATTACTTGAGAGAACAGAGATGTTCAACTGGAAAAGATATCGCCGAGAAGTTCGGATTGTGGAGAGTGCGATACAGGGATGACGGCCACATTGCCTGGATCTGTAGAAGGCACATGAACCTCAGAGCTCATGAAATAATTGAAGTTCCCATCTGAAATGCCTAAGAAGATTCATATGATCCAAATCAACTGAAATCATTCATCTATGCACTAATATGATGTTAATATGCATTATAAAGTTAATCGTTACAACGAAGGATAATAATTTGTTCATGCTTACACCGACGAATATGATAGAACGAAGCTTGTAAGGTGTAGAAGTCATGACTTACTATGATACAGAGAAACATTATTACATTACACTAATGATAGTTATAGCGTTATCTGTGTGTCGTCGCCTGAAATGTACAAACCACAGTTTAGAAGAAAGCCCTGCTTCCATAGAACACTCGTGCATTATCGTTCGGAGTTTTCGGATCAACGCTTGAATTTTCTGAACTAGTCGGTCCATTATCGCCGTCAAGTGGAAGTTTCATCTTTGCCAATGACTCTGTAAATTGCTCCATGCTTTTCATATACATATCAACAATGTCCTGCTGCACTACATTATGTTCTGGCTCTATGGTCAGAGTGATAATAGGCTTTGAGAGTACCTCAACAGAGGAATCAGCCTCCCCATTCTTAATGTCCACATGCTTCTCCTTTTCATTTGGTTCGTGAGTTCGAGGTTTCGAAGCTTCAGAAGCATCCGACGATTCTGAGCTTGTCGGTCCATTAGTTGACAGGCTGCTAGGTGCAAAATTGAGCCTTGGCAGCTGGACAGACTCGACCGAAGCCGTAGAGAAGCTTTCCATATTATGTGCACCTATTTCTGAACTAAGATGATCTTCTGTGCCAGAAGTGGCTAGGCTCTCAGAGCGCTCGGACTCTGGATTAGAGCACAGGATGCCGAAATACTCCGACACCATCATCTCGTCTTCCTTTATGATTTTAGGGTCAGGAAACTCTATCCTATCCAAATCACTAGCTAGCGACTCGGATATTTCGGAAAAGGCAGCTTTAGGAACAACCATTACATCGGGCGCGGCTCCATTGTACTCGAGGGTTAGTTTAACAAACCCTGCACTAGAATGGAACAAATTGGTAGAAGATAAGGAAAACTCTTTCTCTAACTTTCCATCATTTATAAGAACTTCAGACAATGGCACCAAGGTAAACCCCAACAATTGGTCTTCCAGATAGTTTCTCATTCTGCTCAACATCCATATCTCGCATTTAAGGGAGGCATCGACGCTTCGAACATTAAAACGAAGATTCTCATTGAAGATCGGGTTCCTCCCGCCCCCATTAATGATGTTGGTCGAGAGCGAATCTTCAGGATCAGTAGTCAGACAAAACTTAGCATAAACATCTTGCTTTTGGTATATGCAGATATTATGAATATCTCTAGCCTGATGAATGCATACATCAAGTGCACCAACAATTTCCTCCAATTTATACATCACTGCTTCTTTCTTATTGACCTCAATTCCCTTTGGTGGATTACCAGAGATCGGGATGAAGAAATTCGGTTTCTGCTTCTCGGGCTTGAAAATAGGAGAGTTCTTCAACTGGGAAACAACAGATTTAGGGGAGTCCATGATAACGAGACACTTGTTTCGGAACGCTCACCCTCACAGATTGGAGAACAAGCCTGAAAAAGTTACGAAGTTGATTGAAAATAATGAAATCGAGTTAAAACACTTTAAGCACGCCGTTCGTACAGTGATTCAGGAAACAAGTTCAACAGAAGACAGTTCCATATCTCGAAACCAAGAATCGTAACATCAATTTTACAAACTTCATAATCCATAACACTGAGAATCAGACAAACCTAAATGAGAAACAAGAACAATCCAAGAATAAGAACACAGGAATGATTAGAACAACAGGGCATACTGAACTTACAAACGTGAAAACCCCAAATCAGAGTCGAATTTTATATAAGGATTCTCAAAAACACAGAAGTCAAACACTCAAGAACTAAGAACAAGTGAATTGCAAAAGGTTTCAATCAAACTTAGAACATCAACAACAAAATCCCAACAAAGCAACTCAAATTATATCAACACAAGAACATGAAAACCCGGAATCCAAGGAAGTGTAAGCAGTGATGACAAAGTTCAACATGAAGATCAAATTGAGTTCACTTCAACCCTCAAACACAGGGAGAAAGAAACAGAATTACCAAAAGAAAAGGAGTGAAAACAAAGCAAATTCTCGAACTGGGTTCGTTTCTTTTAGCTTCTTGACCCCAAAATTGGCGAAGTCCAAGCAGTCTTCCCCAAAATCGGAAGCTCAAATCGAAGAAACTTCGCCAAAGAAACCCCCGAGGAACAGTTTTATATATATAAAAAAGCAAGACTAGAAGCACGTTGATCAAGACGAAGGGGTAACTGATTATATTTGCCACATCGAGAGGAACCTCCGGGTATTTAAGGGGTAGTTAGTTAGAAAGGCAGGCGTCCCAGTCGTTAGCGCCGGCGGGACCAATGGGGAGAAGGGTGAGTGGGGTTTTGAAGGTGGGTCCGAAAACGACAAGGGATTGGGATCGCAATTGGACTTGGAATTGTGATTGGGGGAAGCTTTACAGAGCCACCATTGGAACAAGGCTGACTTCTACAGCAATGGCCGTAGCTCCCCGCCGTCAAACACGGCCTTTTTGGTCCCTCGAGAAGGAATTTCTCGAACTTCGTTTGAAATAGACAAAGATGGTTGGTTTTTTCAGACAAAGATGGTTGGTTTCTAAAAGGACAAGTATGTTTTGTTCTCCTCTCAGTTAAATTAATGACTTGGAAGAAAATGAACGGTTCATTGGCAGAAGAATTGAAAATTGATTTAATTTTATTAAATTAAAATAAAACATTAAATAACGGAATAAGAACTCTATTCCCGCCACAAGATTTTTCTTGCTATGACTAGTAACACCAGTAAATTGTCGTGTGAGAGAGTATCTGTCCAATTTGAAATATTTATTTAATATATTAAAAAATATTTTAATAAAATATAAAATATCTCAATATATATCATTTAAATTTTAAATACACATTTTAATTTTTATATTTGAACGTATTAAATACAATAAATATTTTTTTTTAGAAATATTAATTTGAAGACTTCAAATTTCAACCTTTCATTATTATTATTATTATTATTATTATTATTTTTTTTTTTTTTTTAAGTCTAGTAATGTTTTTTTAAAAAGAAATATAAAGTAGAATTAAAAAATAAAATAATTATGTATTATACTCAAACATTATCCTTCAATGGTCAATTTAATTGTGGAATTTCTCTCTCATCCATTATTGGCTTTAATTAATTGATTGATAAAATTATATTAAAAAATTGATTTATTGTATTAAATAAATTATTAAAGTTGTATTTGACCCCATTTTTTAGTTTTAAAAAATTCCAATTTTTTTAATACAGTTTTCCACTTTTTGAAAATACTTATAATTTATTGGTCAAATTTAAGAAAGGTGTGAAAATTATGGTCTTAATACTTAATTATTAGCTATTTTTGTGACACTCGAGTAAAGAAAATGTACATGAATGAACCGAGACCACAATGAAAGTGATCTTGAGAAAATAAGGACTAGTCTCAACCTACCGCTAGCAGATATTGTCCACTTTAACCTAATACATAGCACTCTCAGCCTTACGGTTTTAAAACATGTCTGTTATGAAGAGGTTTTCAGAAATGTTATGTTCCCCCGTCCAACAGATATGGGAACTCACAATACCAACAACGTGTACCTTACTTTTTGGTAGCTCAAGATTAAACATGCACTGCTCGGAAGAACTCGTCTTGGTCTTTAAGGATAGGCTTTACTCTTAGAAGCAAGGAATGAATAACGTGACCATGTCATAGGAAATGTGTCGAGGCCATTAGGTGTTGAATCCGTAACATGAGTCGTTATAACTTTATTATTTAGGTTTGGTATTTTAGAAATACTCGGTATGATCACATTTACAAAGAACTTACTTGTGTTAGATTTTCATATACGATCGATCTAGGCCTAGATCAAAATATTGTTGCATGTCATGGCACCTAGGTATCTTTATCTGATGGAAATAGCTGGGGGGGTCTCCAAAAAAACAGGGTATCTGATGGAAATAGCTGGAGGCGTCGAACCAACTAGCTAACCTAATAGTTGGCAAGCAAACAAGGTACTTTGCTCTCCCAGACCCAAAGTGACTCTATGGCCCTGTAGAGGGATCTGCCCGTTAATCTTCCATAGATGATGTTCACTAATATAACTATGCAAACTGACTAAGTCATCTCGAACTAAGATACGTTGTCCAGTAGATTTACGGTGCAAGAAATGGGAGAACCACCTTGTGTTGGTAGTAAGATTTTTTGGGTTATCGGGTATTTTGAACACCTTTAGTTCTTCACTACTTGTATGGGAAGGAGTCTCGTTCTATTCGTCTATTCTCGAGAGGAATTTGATCTCAAGATACTACTTAAATAACACTGGTCATAATGAGTTAGAGCGGGAAAGATATTAACTAATGAAATTCATAAGAATTGCGATTGCACTTATACAGACGTTCAAATTTAAAAACCCTATCTTGAGAACCGTGTCGATGGAATGTATTTTTTACATATTTGAATAATGATTTAAAAAAAAAGAATATATCCTATGAAATTGCAGCTTGTGATCTCCAATGCCTTGCTTTCTCAAACCCATTGGTATAGTTATCAAAATCATCAATGGTTTGGTCAATTTGTTCTTGAGTGTTCATCACAAATGGCCCAAATTGCACAACAGGCTCACTCAGTCGTTCACCTCCTACCAAGATGAACCTTACAGCCTTGGATGACTTATTCCACACGTCTAAACCGTCCCCGAACCCGAGCAGAAGAAGGTTATGTGCTGTCGTCGACGTCGCCTTCGAACTGCCGAAGACGCCCTCGCCCTCGAGAATGTAAACGAACGCGTTCCAGGACGACGGGATTGGCTGATGGAGATGAGCCTTTGGGTTGAGAGTGAAGTCTAAGTACATTGTTGGTGTTCTTGTGTGGATTGGTGATTTTGCTCCCAATGCCTCACCAGCTATGACTTTCACTGTCACTCCATCTTTTGTAGCTTCTGGGATTTCCTTGCTTGAAACTTCTTGGTAATTTGGCTCAATCCTAAGATTCAAAAAAGTTTGAGACATTTGTTACGAACATCGTAATTACTCTGTATGAAATTTACACGGGTTTTACTCAATGTCATCTTTGAATGAATACATCTTTCTAAATTAAGAGTATACCGGCTAGTTTCGACATTCACTGTGAGATACCACGTCGGTTGGGGAGGAAAATGAAACATTCTTTACAAGGGTGTGGAAACCTCTCTCTAGTAGACGTGTTTTAAAAACGTTGAGAGGAAGCCTAAAGGGAAAGCCTAAAGAGGACAATATTTACTAGCGGTGGGCTTGGACCATTACAAATGGTATCAGAGCTAAACACCGGGTGATATGCCAACAAGGAGGTTGAGCCCCGAAAGAGGGTGGACGCAAGGCGGTGTGCCAACAAGGACGCTGGGCCCAAAAGGGGGTAGATTGTGAGATCCCACTTCGGTTGAGGAGAAGAACAAATCATTCTTTATAAGGGTGTGGAAACCTCTCCCTAGAAGATGTGTTTTAAAAACTTTGACGGGAAATCCGAAAGGGGAAACCCAAAGAGGACAATATCTACCATGGGCTTTACAAATGGTATCAGAGCCAAACATCAGGTGATGTGTCAGGGAGAAATTTGAGCCCTGAAGGGCGGTGGACACGAGACGGTGTGCCAACAAGGACACTGAGTCTCGAAGGGGGTGGATTGGGGGTCCCACATCAATTGGAGAAGGGAACGAATGTCAGCATTCTCACTGGGCCCCGAAAGAGGGTGGTGGACTGTGAGATTCCACATCAGTTGAGGAGGAGAACGAAGCATTCTTTATAAGGGTATGGAAACCTCTTCCAAGTAGACGCGTTTTAAAAATCTTGACGGGAAACCCGAAAGAAAAAACTCAAAGAAGACAATATCTGCTAGCGGTCGGCTTGGGCTATTACATTCACAAATATTTTACGAAGATTCATTCACAAGCAAAAGGAAGGTTGTTCAAGCTGATCTGCCACAAATAAAGTGTTCTTCACTCGAAAGCACTTTATAAAAAAGGATCAATCATGAAAAATCATGATGGTTGTTTGTGAAAAAAGCATTAACCAGGAGAGATACCCTTCAAGTTCCTAAACTCAAGTTTCCAACTGTGAAAAACTTGAACCTTAAAGACTTTTGTTGTCTCTTGGAGCTGGTTTAGTGTGAATGGTATCACGAGAAATAAGCGAGTGTCGGCCATGAGTATAAGCGAGTATGGATGAAGTATCTGTTACGAATAACGACTCTTCACAATGGTATGATATTGTCCACTTTGAGCATAAGCTCTCGTGGTTTCCCAAAAGGCTTCATATCAATGGAGATATATTACTTACTTATAACCCATAATCAACCCCTTAATTAGCCTGTGGGACTCCTCTCCCAACAATCCTCCCCTCAAACAAAATACACCATAGAGCCTCCCTTGAGGTCTATGGAGCCCTTGAACAGCCTCCCCTTAATCGAGACTCGACTCCTTCTCTGGAGTCCTCGAACAAAGTACACCGTTTGTTCGACACTTAAAGTCATTTTTTACTACACATTCAAGACTCTCGACAAGTTAAGGGCAGATCTCCAAAATGCCTCATACCAATAAAGATGTATTCCTTACTTATAAACCCATGATCGATCCCTAAATTAACCAATATGGGACTCCATCCCAACAATCCTCAACAGTATCACAAGACATAAGCGAGTGTGGGCCATGAGTATAAGTGAATGTAGATGAAGTATCACGAGAAATAAGCGAGTATGGGCCATGAGTATACACGAAGTGAGGACTTCGATACCCGAGTAACAAAAATGAAGAACAAAGGCATAAGAAAAGGTGGTTCTTACATTTTGTTCTTGGAAGAAAGGTTGATCCATAGTTGGAGGCCCTTTTGGGTTCCTTGAGCTGCAGGCATTTCTGAATGTACAATACCTCTACCTGCAGTCATCCACTGCAAGTCACCTGCACCAATTGTTCCCTTGTGGCCTTCAAAATCTTCATGTGTCACACTTCCCTGTCATGTATTAACATATTGTATACCGTCAAATCATACGTGTTCTTCACGACGTTATTATATATTCGAACGACTATTTCTTTGAACGGTATACCTTTTTTTAAAAAAGTAGAAGTTTTCTTTGAATTTGTGTTAAAAAAAAGTATACTTTAAGTCCATGTGAACCAGAACATTATCTGTGGTAGGTGGTCACCAAACCCCTCTAAGCCTTCTACTATTTACATTTTCCTTATTGACCACTACACCAACTCGAGATAGTTAACAAAAATAACGTTACTTTTTACAACCTACCTTATCGTAATTTTCTAAAGCTACTTAGAAACCAGATGTAACAACCCAAGCCCATGACTAGTCGATATTGCCTGTTTTGACCCATTACGTAACGCTATTAGCCTCACTGTTTTAAAACGCGTGTGTTAAGGAGAGGTTTTCACACCCTTATAAAAAAATGTTTCATTCCTCTCTCCAACCGTGGATCCAAGCCTACCATTAGGAGATATTGTCTGCTTTGGCCTGTTATGTATCACCATCAGCCTAATGGTTTTAAAACGAGTTTACTAGGGAGAGGTTTCCACACCCTTATAAAGAATGTTTCGTTCCTCTCTCCAACCGTGGATCCAAATCCACCACTAGGAGATATTGTCCGCTTTGGCCCGTTACGTATCACCATCAGCCTAATGGTTTTAAAAGAGTCTACTAGGGAGAGGTTTCCACACTCTTATAAAGAATGTATCGTTCCCCTCTCCAACTGTGGATCCAAGCCCACCACTAGCAAATATTGTCCGCTTTAACCCATTACGTATCGCCATCAGCTTCACGATTTTAAAACACATCTACTAGAGAAAGGTTTCCACACCCTTATAAGGAATGTTTCATTCCCCTCTCCAACCGTGGACTGTGAGATAAGAACGAAGCATTATTTATAATAGTGTAGAAACCTCTCCCTAGCATACACGTTTTAAAACCATGAGGCTAACAGCAATACGTAACAGGTCAAAGTAGATAATATCTACTAGCCGTGAGCTTGAGCTATAACACCAAAAAAAACTCTCAAACAAGCATTTAGTTTCTTCTTCTTTTAGCATAGCATTTTCATGCAACAATTTGATCGATGAAATCCGAACTACTATGCTTAGTGGTAAGATCAATAGGCCTTGGGCATACCTGTAACATGTAGGTCACTGTCTCAAATCCTGTTTTCATCTCAAAGAATTAAACACGAAGTTAGGACAGTGTATTAAACTTATATGAACACCAGAAATCAATCATTCAAATTCCAAACCTCTATGTGGATGATCAGGGAACCCAGCTGGGGCAGTAACTACAAAGTTCAAGAACCAAAACTCATAAGAATCATTTATGCAATTGCTATCGAACTCATAAGAATTATTTATGCAATTGCTATCAAACTCATAAGAATCATTTATACAATTGCTATCAAACTCATAAGAATCATTTATGCAATTGCTATCGAACTCATAAGAATTATTTAGGCAATTGCTATCAAACTCATAAGGATCATTTATACAATTGCTATCAAACTCATAAGAATCATTTATGCAATTGCTATCAAACTCATAAGAATGATTTATGCAATTGCTATCAAACTCATAAGAATCATTTATACAATTGCTATCAAACTCATAAGAATCATTTATGCAATTGCTATCAAACTCATTCAATTTCAGAATCATAAACAAGAAAGAGACCCACCTGAAAATTCATCCAAAACCAGAAAAGGGTCGAAGTATTTCAGCTCAAATCTGTGAAAAAAACACCATTAAAGCATTAAACCAAACCATAAACCAATGGTCCACTTCACTTACTAACTCAAATGCTACATTATGAGGAGAAAAAACGAGAAACCGATAGAAACCCATGAATCAAAATGCAAAATAATTGAAATGGTACATTCAGGGGATCAAAGAAAACAAGAAACAGAGAAAGATCTGAAGAGTTTTCTCTGATTACCTTCCAATGCTCCTTCTAACAATGGCGCCCAACCCTTCATGTTGAGGCCTAGCCAGAAACTTTCTAGCCACAAGACGAGGCTGTTTAGCAACACATTGACTGTCTTTCTCTGGCATTTTTGTTGTTCTTCAAATAGAAAACATGGGATTCAAGATTAGACGAAGAAGATGAGATGAATTTATAAAGCACGTCAAAGATGGGAAAAGAAGAAAGAAGAAATGGGTTGCCAAAGAAGACTCGCATGCTTAAAATATGATATGAAAGGGCTGAATTTGATGGAGAATTTTTCATTTTCATGCTTAAATTTTCCATTGTTTACTGTTTGTATGAACGTCATCTTGGCGTTGCCATGAGGTGTAGTGACCCAATTTGGATTTCAAATTCTAGCCCAAACTATTATCATAAGTTTTGAATTTAGTGTTTGTCGTAAATTTGGTTTCAAGAAAAAAGAGTTCTGATCGCTGATAAGTTTGTCTCTGCTCGAGGAAAAGTCTTCAATAGTTCAATCTATCCAAAAAAAATTATCGGCCGTTGAAGAACGCAAGCAGAAAGGAACTCAGGTTTTGTTATATTCCCGATCATACCGACCTCTTTTTTTATTTCAACTATTACAAATTTTGAAATAGTATTCGACAGCTACACAATTCTTAAATAATATGAATAAATTTGTATATTTTGACAACCAAATCATTTTCATTTTAGACTTAAAAGTCATTTTGGTTGGTGGCATTAAATAAAGAACTTATTAAAATCCTCTCTTGGGTCCCATTTTTTTTTGCACCTTTTCCCACGTGGGACTTGGAAAAAAAATGCCCAAAAATCCAAGTTAACTCAAAGTGCCTAAAATTAATTAATATAAAAATAAATAAATAAAAACATTTTAAAGCTATTTAGTTCGAATGTGTATTAAATTTTAAATTTTGTTAGACAGATTTATTTTCAATTTTATAAATCTACTAGACACCAAATTAAAAATTTTCTGCCGGAAATGAATTCAATTTTTAAAAAATGATATATAAGGTAGACACAAATTGAAGGCGTAGAAATATAGTACATAAATGATATTATAAAGTAGGTTGGGGAAGACAATAATAATTATTGTATCAAATTTCTATTATTTTAATTTTTTTAAAATTAAAATAATAACAAAAAAAAAAAAAAAAAAAAAAAAAAAAAAAAAAAAAAAAAA